ACACTTACATACGTGTACAATGTCATGATCACAATCCTGTCCTTGTGGACGGAGCTTTGTTTGCCTGGTCCTAGCAATGAAGTTAAGCCTGGTTGGGCTTAATGTTCATTGGTCCCACCCCATTAAGCTTAAGGCAGTGATAGGTGCTTGGAATTTGGACAAGGACAGGGAAAAAGAAATAAAATCTCTTTACCTTAAATAGAGATTAGATCAAGCAACTGAAATTGAATATGATAAGTGCACGTCTGGGGTTGTTGCCAGACATCAAATTTGTTTCTTGTGTGCCATTAATAACGAATGTTACGATGATGGAGTAGGGTTGCATAAAAACTGGCTATAAGATGGACTATTTTCTAAGCTCCAAGCTGAAAGCAAAGAAACAAACAAGAACAAAGCTTTAATGTTAAGTTAACCAGTTACCAAATATTTTTTTTTGTTGTTGTAATTCTGTTAGGTCAATGACTTCAATCTTTTTTTATATTTATCTTTTTCTGAAATATTCACCAAAAGGCTATCATATAAAAGTTAATTGAACTTAGATGTTGGTAAATTTATTGTTCTAATACTGTATTTATTGAAAGCTTTTATTACCCATTTGATTGACTTGACTCCTCTTTTGCAGTCTTAAGTTTTAAAACCCACGTTACTTGAATTAACTGAACTTCCTTTTTAACTGATATATGCAGTTTTCAGACTGTTAATTCTGTTTAATTTTACACTGCAGCAACTCTCTCTCAAAGGGTTTGCTGGTGACACCGCCAAGGCACACGCCAAGACTAGCATGATTGCTGGTGAAGGTGTAAGCAATATCAGAACAGTTGCAGCCTTTAATGCACAAAGCAAGATACTCTCATTATTTTGCTATGAGCTTCGGGTTCCACAGAAGCGAAGCCTTGGACGCAGCCAAACTTCTGGCCTCCTCTTTGGCTTATCTCAACTTGCTCTTTATGCTTCTGAAGCTCTCATACTTTGGTACGGCGCCCATCTTGTTAGCAAAGGTGTCTCCACGTTCTCTAAGGTGATTAAGGTTTTTGTGGTATTGGTGGTCACAGCAAATTCTGTGGCAGAAACTGTGAGTCTTGCTCCTGAGATCATTAGGGGTGGTGAAGCTGTCGGTTCAGTGTTCTCCATTTTAGATCGTTCAACCAAGATTGACCCAGATGATCCTGAGGCAGAGCCAGTTGAATCAATTCGCGGAGAAATTGAACTTAGGCATGTTGATTTTGCATATCCTTCACGACCTGATGTCAGTGTGTTTAAAGACCTAAACCTTCGAATCCGTGCTGGCCAAAGCCAAGCTCTTGTTGGGGCTAGTGGCTCTGGCAAGAGTTCAGTCATTGCATTGATTGAGCGATTCTATGATCCTACTGGTGGAAAGGTTATGATCGATGGAAAAGATATCCGGAGATTGAACTTGAAGTCTCTTAGGCTTAAAATTGGATTGGTGCAACAAGAGCCAGCCCTCTTTGCAGCCAGCATTTTTGATAACATTGCCTATGGAAAAGAAGGAGCAACTGAAGCCGAAGTAATTGAAGCAGCCCGTGCAGCTAATGTGCATGGATTTGTTAGTGCATTGCCTGATGGGTACAAAACACCAGTAGGTGAGAGGGGGGTTCAGCTCTCTGGAGGTCAGAAACAAAGAATTGCAATTGCGAGGGCTGTGCTTAAGGACCCAACCATATTATTACTTGATGAGGCCACTAGTGCACTTGATGCAGAATCAGAATGTGTACTACAAGAAGCACTTGAAAGGCTAATGAGGGGCCGCACCACGGTGCTTGTGGCTCACCGTCTTTCGACAATAAGAAATGTTGACGGTATTGGAGTAGTGCAAGATGGGCGCATTGTAGAACAAGGCAGCCACGCTGAGTTGATTAGCCGAGCCGAAGGAGCGTATTCTAGGCTCTTGCAACTACAACACCATCACATATAAGAGTTTTGGTTGAAGCAACATGGCCTTGTTGGGTGGTAATTATGTTGGGACCCATTAACCTTATGTTTCCATCTTTCGTTTTTTTTGAATGATGATAGCTGTAGATATTGGAATGTGGACTGTATCTTGAGAACCACTGCCCCATTTCCAATGGGGTAGCAAATGCTAAATTATTGATATCTATGGTGCAGAAGCCCCTTGTCTATGCAGTTGGTCAGGTGATTGATTGGCTTTACTTGCCCTTTTTGTAATTGAAATTTTATAATACTATAAAGTGAAAACCCTAGACACCACCTTTCGAGCCCTTGTGAAAGCCTTTCTTGATCTAGCTTTTCCGTGCATGTGTTTACAGAAGGGTTCTTTTCTGTTCTAGATAAAGGTCATTTCTTTTTTTGTTGCTTCCAGGCCCACATCAAGTACTAGATGGTTTAGCACTAACAAGGTAACGACTCATCTCTTTCTAACAAAATGCACACAGACATATTCATTCCTAGCAGATGGTAACGATATTATTGTAAAAGCAAAGATCCTAGATGTAAAGCTTAAGTCTATGCTGCAAGAATGGTTGTCAAGACCCACTATCCATATATCTAAAAAGGGCCCAACTTGGATCATTTTTTGTGTATCTTGCGTGCACCTGTAAGACCTTTTCTTCATACTTGAATTCAGTGTATTTTTCTATCAAGTAAATGAAAATGAAGCATGGGCAAGCTTCTTTTATTATCAGAATGATTATAAAGCTCACTAAAAGTTGCATTCCTGTACTTATTCTGTCACAAAGGTGAAAAAACTAATAGACTCCCGAGGGAGTTGGCCCTTTGCAACTTTTACAGCTCACTGATATTTTTGCCATTGAGATTTGAGATTGTGGGGGTGAAACAAAGATGGTGAAGCAAAGCAAAGGCATGGCAGAGGACAGAAATAGAGAAACCCGGGTTCTCAATCCTCAGCAGCACGGTGGGTCATAGATTGGTGCTGATTTTAAGACACCTGGCAGCGATGATGCATCACGTCAACTTTCGTATGGTTCCATTGCATTATACGTGCCTGCAATTTTTCTGCATGCTGGGGTACTGCTATTTGCCTGACGACAAGATTTATTGATTATGAAGCCATAATAAATTTGCTTTCAGGACCCCCCAAACATTACTTAATGCATCTCAAGTATCTTTTATATATTGAAAAACTTCCCCCTCCACTAAGCTATATTTTTGCATACAAAAGTAAGAAAGCAACTGATAATATAAATATCAGTGGTGAAGTAAATTCTCCATGAAGTGATATCTTGACACAGATTTCAACCGCAACAAAGTTTCAATACATATTTTTGTGAGGTATACTCCCGTTGCCTCACATGTATACTGTAGTTACAGAAGGTACATCCAACTCAGGTGTAAAACGTTCATTCCACAGATAGCACGCTGACATGATCACATGGTGAAAACCAAGTGATAATGGCAGAAACAAAACAAGATTGGAATTTAGTGCGGTGTATTCCTGTTAGATTCTTGGGGGTCCTCTTTGAAGACTTTAGCAGTGTCCTGTATCTGCTCAAAGTAATGGTGTATAGTCTACAAATGTTGACTACTGCGAGTCACATTAGCGTCTGTGTCTGAAAGCTTCAGCCCGTATTGTTTCAGGACCCGTACCATTTTGTTTTCTTGCGGCGAAAATGGGATTGATGGTTTTCTCCCTAGGCGTTGAGGCCTCAATTGCACAACATAATCACAACAAACAATTCTTCTTCCTGTATGGCGGCCCACCCTACACTTTTAACTCACTTTGAGCATTCATCAAAATATTTCTTGGCAATTTCACTCATATTTTGGCCTGAAATGAATTTTGATTTGAAATGAAGCACACATCAAGATACACATGATGATGTGAGTATCTGACATTTATATGAAAAAGAAAATAAAACTTTCTTGACATTTGTTATTCATTCTACATTTTTATGTTTCACTTTATCTGGAATTGCACAGGCAATTCATTAGAATTGCTTTAAGGTTCACTCTTTGCTTAGCAGTTATTAATTACAATGATGATTCCAAATTGAGGTGGAGCATTTGTTTAAGTCCCTTTTTATAAATTTCAATGAAACCAGGCATGCTCATCAAATTAACAAGAAGGAAATCTAGCAATAATGGAAGCAATCATGTTATTTTTGTTATAATTGATGTCTAGTCTTTGAAAAGAATTTGAAACCATATCCCATCTTAAAGATTAGGACTAAAAGGTAATGGATGGTAGAATGACTACAAATAATGACTCAGATATTTGAGCCTTAAGGAGATGAAAGGGGCCACGCTTCTCTGCTCACTCCTACAAACTGTGCAAGATAATGTTAGGGATATGTCAGCCAACCAAATCTTTCAATAATTTAAGCACAATTTTGATGTTCCTATATCATACAAGGATAATCACTAGGGGAGAAAAAGAATTCACGTAAAGATAAAGAAACCCATGTTTTATCAATCAAGGCCAAGACTTTTATGCCCCAATTTGGCTGAATTTTGTTTGTCAGCATTCTTTGGTGAACAGCCCATTGATAATGCCCTGTCTCTATGTTATTAACAATTTTTCTTGGTTTTAAATGCTGGAAAATATTAAAAAAAATTTGCAACAGATAAAAAGAGGAAAATATAGTGATTAATTATCAAAAAAAAAAAAAGAAAGAAAAAACTAAGAACAGGAAGAAAACACAGAAGAAAACCAAGAAATTGTGTGTGTGGGGTTTCAATGTTTTCCATTTTGAGCTTGTCTGGCCTGACAGGGACGGGTCAGGCCTGGGCATCCAATTGGACAAAGCCAGCCCAAGCTAGAATTCTTTTTTCCTTATCTATGGCTTTATTCATCTTGTAGATTCTCAATTATGCTTTGTCCCCAAATTTTCCAAACCATGCATTCTAAATATGATCTATAGTTTAATGACCTTTTTGCATTTCTAGCACAAATATTCATCTCAAAACTTATAAATATCGGGCCTAATTCTAAACCAATCTTGAATGGGCAAAACACTGGTGAGCAAGTGAGTCTTACCCTTTCTGGGATATATGGGCTAAACCAAGCCTTCTTAATGTAACTGACACAAACTAAGAGCTTGGTAGAGCCAGGAGCTGGGCCTATCCAATGAGAACCTCAAGCTAGTCCTGGAATGATGATGATATTTTGATCCATGGAAGATCAGGGTTGGACCAAAGGATGGCTTGCCATTTGGGCACATTTGAGGAATTCAAGTGGAGACGAGAATCCGATGTTAGCTCTTCCTTCTATGACACATAACAACTATTACTCCTAACTTTAATTTATAGTAAGGTTCAATTTATTTATTTATTTAAATAAACTCCAACCCCTTGTCCGAATTCTAATTTGACAAAACTACAAACTTTAACTTCACCCTGTATTTGAGTTTAAAATAACAACAGCTTCCACTATATATTCAAATATGAAACAAGTTGAATTTTTCTCAGCGTCTTTCTTAAAGTAGTATTCTTGCCTTATTCAAGCAATTCAAATATCGCCCCACTACAAAAATCCACCCCATTTTAAACAACACTATACCTCTTACACATTTAGCTCATGTGTAATTCCGAACAGCCAGTTAACTCATTGAATAAGTGCTGTACTTCTCTGAATACTGCCCTTAGCCAATGAATCTGCTTCACCATTTGCTTCTCGCAAGACATGCGTTACCTTCCAAAGTGGAATACTTTTCTGCGTATGTTCAATCTGGATTAACCATGCTCGAAATCTCCAAAGAGCATTTTTAGGATTCTTTATCCACTTGATTGCATTTTGAGAATCACTTTCTATCTATAAATTATACTATTTGTGACACTTTGTAGCAATAAAAATGCAAAATGCTTCACTAATAGCCTTGCTTTCTACTAGGTTCAAGTTTCCCACACCAATAGACTTTGAAAACTTGAGAGTTTAACTGTGAACCAAACTAGTCCTTGAAATTCCACCACTGCCAACCTCTCCCGGGTTCTCAGATGAATTTGAGCTAGCCTTCTTGTGGAGCCATCCATTTAACCTCTTGTCTTTCAAGCTTGGCTTTATCTCTTAATTTCACCTTAGAAAGACATCTAAATACATCAGTCAGTTCAGCCAACTCAGGTCACCTGGTCTTTGCCCATATCGCAACGCATATTTTAATTAAATCATGGAGTTGTGAGGCATCCCATACCTTCCCATTAAAAACCATCTCAATCCTAAACAACCACACTAACCAAACAATTGCATAAAAAGCAAGTCACCATACCTTTTTACTATCTCTACTAGGACAATTGTTTTCCATGCTAGAAAAAACATTTTTGGATTGTTAGATGTAACCCAATTTATATTCCATTCTAAGCACCATTTACACCAAATTTTCCAAGACTCTTTGCATGTAAAAAACAGATGTCTAACCGTCTTTGAACTTTGTTTACACAATACAGAAAAAGCCTTATCAAATGCAATGAAGTTTCTTTTTCTTATTCAAACTCACTGTCGTCCTTTCCCACATGATTTGCCACACAAACACCTATACTCTATGCGGGGCATAACCTAACCAAATCATTTTCTAGAGATCATAGCTTTCAACAAGAGAATTAAGGACAAGTTTACAAAAAGATTTTGAGAAATCTCGTCAAATAGTTGTAACTTTCCAAATAAGTCTATCCTCAAGGTTTTCACTTAGAGTATACTCTCGTAGATACTCTATCACCTCATCCATTGCTAAAATTCCCAACCAAACAATTGTCGTCTCAATTCAATTTGCCAGCGCCATCCGCCATTTGTCTTTACCCCATAATTGCATAACCTCCCATCTTTATTAATGGCTAGAACAAACAATCTTAGAAATTCACTTTTGAGAAACATATTCTCAAGCCATGCACCACTCCAAAATGAAATTGCTTTGCCATTACCTACAATAACTCCCAAAACAGTTGAAACTTGCAAAAAAAAAAAATTGTCAATAGGCATTAGAGGAAAAATAATATTTTTCCAAGTGTTCGAACATTTACAAGTAACAATAGCATTGGGACCGTAACATTCTTTTTAGCCATGATTTTCCTCCATAGATTTTCAAATTCATTCAATACATCCATATCCATTTAGTTAACAATGCTTTATTCCTAACTTCCAAATCAATCAAACCCAAACCCCTTTATTCCTTGTAATTACTAGCCGCATCCCACCTTATGTAATGAATTCCACCAACCCAGAGAAAATGCCTCTGAATCTTCTCCAATTCTTCCTTTACTCCTTGAGACATCTTAAATATAGATACACAAAAGACTAGAAGGCTAGAAATTACT